TCTCAACCCCTTTGAAATGATCCATTCAGTAAGAACCAGGCCCACTGACTACCTATGTCATGAACTCAGCATATCTGCGAGCCAGGCTTGGGGGTTGCATTTAATGCCATATTGTAGTTTTTGATGTTTTCTATCTGAAGCGCTGAGCTCAGTGGAGAGAGGAGGGGTCTAGTCAAATCCACTATCCTCGGGGATTACAGAGTACAGAGTGAGGCCTTAGCCTTGAACAGACCCAGGAAGTTCAGAAAGCATCATCTTTGGGGGAAAAAAGAAACAAATGCTTTTACTTTTGTCGGCCTGACTTTCAAATCTACCCCTGAACCAGGTTTATAGACAGACATGCGAGACTCCAATGTAGCTGAAGGCCAAGGTCACAGACACTTGGAAGAATTGAGGACAGTCTGCCTTTTGCAATCACTCTTTTTTATGTCTTTTAATTTAATGTATACGCTGAAGAGACAAATGATGATTATTAGTGTAGAATTGGGATTGATGTCTGCACTTAAAAATACAGTTATTAGTGCAAGAAAATGGGCGGGTTCTCGGGTATCATCCATGCCTAGTAGGTGGGGAGATCTTCATGTAGATTTGAGGGAAAATGTCTATAAAATGAGTATGAGTCCTCGAAATCACTTTTCCTAAATATCCTTCAACATTTTTAGTCATCAAAGATATGATGCAGGTGGTGGTTTCTTCACAGTAGGAAAATGTTCCGGCGATGTGATTGGGACAAGGGAGTGGGGACCAACTCAATTCAAATGTTTGATGATTGTCTCATTGAGGCATGTCAGATCTGTTACGGAAAGGCTTGTCCATCAGCTGTATCACAGGTGAAAAGTTAAATTCGCCTGAAAGATTAGCGCTTAATGACTGAGTAGTAAATGGGTTGAACTGTGCCCATACCCACTGCAAACAGGAAGTAGCCATCCTCTAGATGACAATTTATTTCAATATATAGAAAATCTGTATTGAGGGTGACACCGCCCACCTGAATCATGTTCATTTCATTTTTGGCTTTGATAGCAATGAGTTTGGTGTGCCACAGAGGGACTTAGAATATTCCCTATCCCTGGGAGCACACATCCCATCTGCATATGTCTGTGGTATTTTAACAAGACCTGTACATCGTGGAGTTCTAAGAAATGATTAACGTTCTAAGAAATGATTAACATGTAAGCGTAGCTGGTTTCCGGTGGATCCCATTGAGTTCCTTAGGAAGGGATGGTTCTCAAGGAAAGGCCAGGAGTTAAGTTTGTTGTTTGTTATTGACATGGGGTTGGTTTAATTATTTGAACGAGAGACGCTTTAAAAAAAAAATCTTTCAGAGAAGTCTCATAAAATGCAATGTGTAATTTAAAACCTATTTGGATAATTGACTGATTTGACAGGAAGACAACCTTAGAATTAAACTGTATAGCAGGATGCAGAAGTGATGTGAGTGTGCCGATCATTGGTACATCACTCTGTTGTTTTGATAGGTGTCTCGTAAGGGGCTGAAGCGAACATGCTTGTTTCCCCGAATGTTTCTGTAATTTGGCTTCCTTTGTTTAGAGCCATGATTGGGGAGTAATAAAGCCTTATGAAAACTTGGCAAGCTGATTGACAAGCCTGGTTCCAAGCCCGCTGTGTGTGATGCTTTATTTCTTGACGAAGTGTGCCGATGTGCGTGGTTCTCTTCTAAGTGTCTCCTACAATGTTTGCCCAGGTTTCAGCGGAGCAAGGGAAGGAAGATGAGGCAGTAAGTCAGAAAAGCATCCCAGAGCCTCTTGCTGCTCCCGAAGTCAAGAAGAAACCAGAAGGGCACAAGGATCTTGCAGCGAGGGCGCCGGTGTCCAGAGCAGACCCAGAAAAGGGCAATGAGACTGACCAAGGTTCCACCAGTGAGAAGGAGGCTGAGGAGGCGGGAGACAAGGGCCCCGCCCCTATGCTCCCAAGCCCTCCCCTGCCTCCTGAAAGAGACTCAGCTCCTACCCCTGGGGCTGGCAAACAGCCCCTTGCCTCTCCCAGCTCCCAGATGGACTCAAAGCAAGAAGCCAAACCCTGTTGCTTTACAGAGAGCTCTGAAAATGACCTCCAAGAAGCACCCTTTCCCAGCTTTCCCGCCACCCCAGCCACCCCTGGCAAGCCAGAATGAGGCAGAGGAAGACAAGCTTCCCGCCATGACTAACTATATTGCCAACTGCACTGTGAAGGTGGACCAGCTGGGCAGTGACGACATCCACACCGCCCTCAAGCAGACCCCGAAGGTCCTTGTGGTCCAGTCATTTGACATGTTCAAAGACAAAGACTTGACCGGGCCCATGAACGAGAACCACGGACTTAATTACACGCCCCTGCTCTACTCCCGGGGCAACCCCGGCATCATGTCCCCACTGGCCAAGAAAAAGCTTTTGTCCCAGGTGAGTGGGGCGAGCCTCTCCAGCAGCTATCCCTACGGCTCCCCACCCCCTTTGATCAGCAAGAAGAAGCTGATTGCCAGGGACGACCTGTGCTCGGGTTTGTCCCAGGCCCACCACAGCCAAAGCTCTGATCACACGACCATCAGCCGGCCATCCGTAATCCAACACGTCCAGAGCTTCAAAAGCAAGGCCTCTGAGGAGAGAAAGGGCATCAATGAGATCTTCAAGCACGACAAACTGAGTCGGTCCGATGCTCACCGCTGTGGTCTCTCCAAGCACCAGCTCAGCTCCCTGGCCGACTCCTACATCCTGAAGCAAGAGGTGCAGGAGGGCACGGACAAACTATTAGAGAAGAGAGCGGTCTCCCACGCCCACATGCCCAGTTTCCTGGCAGACTTCTACTCATCCCCGCATCTCCACAGCCTCTACCGACACACGGAACACCATCTTCACAACGAACAGTCGCCCAAGTATGCCTCCAGAGACATGTACCAGGAATCTGAGAACAGCGCTTTTCTTTCTCACAAACACCCAGAGAAGGTCCATGTCAACTATCTCGCCTCTCTGCATCTGCAAGATAAGAAGTTGGCTGCGGCAGAAGCCTCCAGAGATGATCAACCAACGGACCTGAGCCTTCCCAAGAACCCACAGAAACTAACCAGCAAAGTCCTGGGCCTGGCCCACTCAGCCTCGGGGTCCCAGGAGATCAAAGGCGCCTCCCAGTTCCAGGTCGTCAGCAGCCAGAGTCGAGACTGTCACCCCAAAGCCTGCCGGGTATCTCCCATGACCATGTCGGCCCCTAAAAAATACCCCGAGTCGATTGCAAGGTCGGGAAAACCTCACCATGTGAGACTGGAGAACTTCAGGAAAATGGAAGGCATGGTCCATCCCATCCTGCACCGGAAGATGAGCCCTCAGAACATTGGAGCGGCTCGCCCTATCAAGCGCAGCCTGGAGGATTTGGATCTTGTGATCGCTGGGAAAAAAGCCAGGGCTGTGTCTCCCTTGGACCCAGCCAAAGAGGCTTCTGGGAAAGAAAAGGCCTCGGAACAGGAGAGCGAGAGCAGCAAAGGAGCCTACGGTGGGCATTCTGGGGCTGCATCCGAAGGCCCCAAGCTTCCGGTCTCCTCCCCCATCTTCCCAGGTTTGTATTCTGGTAGCCTGTGTAACTCGGGCCTCAACTCCAGGCTCCCGGCCGGGTACTCCCATTCTCTGCAGTACTTGAAGAACCAGACGGTGCTCTCTCCTCTCATGCAGCCCCTGGCTTTCCACTCGCTCGTGATGCAAAGGGGAATTTTTACGTCGCCGACCAATTCTCAGCAGCTGTACAGACACTTGGCTGCCGCGACCCCCGTGGGGAGTTCCTACGGGGACCTGTTGCACAACAGCATCTACCCGTTAGCTGCTATCAACCCTCAGGCTGCCTTCCCACCGTCTCAGCTGTCCTCTGTACACCCCAGCACAAAACTGTAAGCCTCGCTGTGCCCAGCATCCCCAGACGGCGGGGGGGTCCGTGCGCCAACCCCGGAGGGCTGGCTTGCAGAGTTGGAAGTCAGTATTCCTTCTCATCTGGCGATACAGTTCGTCCCAGCCATAGAGGCCTAAAGGCCAGGTGAACACGCCTACCTTTTTCGAGGACAACCCTAGGCTGGCCGGCCAGTTGTCCGTCCAACACAGATGGCCTAGGGCCTCCAGACCTCCTTTTCAAGTGGCTCTTTGTGAAGGGTATCTGTGTCTATCCCAGAAGAACTCAGAGGACCCCCCTGAGTTTGGATGGTAGGGAAGCAATCTGAGCAAAAAAAAAAAAAAAAAAAAAAAAAAAAGTGGGGGCAGGCTTTTCAAAGGACAGGGCAAGAAAGGACTGGCAAGCAACAGCCAGGGGATGTCCCTCTTTTTCATAAAACTCACCAAGTTCAATCAATGCAATGTATAGTAAAACTTAAAGAGACCTTTCATCCTGACACTATTAAACAATCCAGAGAAGTAAACACTGTTAAACTGTATATATTTGCTTCTTAAAGCTACCCGTATCACTGTTCACTCACCTAATTTATATACAGATAGTTCTGTTTTCTCCTGGTTCTTTCTTGTTCCTGCCCTGGGGTATTTTGGGGTTTATCTGTTTGTTTTGTTTGTTTTTCAATTAAACGGTAACTCTTCTATTTGCAGGTCTTCTGTTTTGGGTTTTTTTTTTTTTTTTTGGTGTTTTTGGTTTTTTGTTGTTTTTGTTTTTGTTCTGTTCCGTTTGCAAGGCTGACTGACTCTCTTAGTTGTTGATGTGTATTTTTATCAATTTTCCCCTTCCCCCCACTTCTTCTTTTGAGCAGCTTTGGGTGGTCAAGTTATTGTTTACAAATTGAAGCAACTGATTTTAGTGGAACCGACTGAGAAGAACCCGTGGAGAACACGAGCTAGCGGAAAGCCTGTGCCTTTGCGGGTCTGCGCCTCGAGGATTCCGGTCCTCCTAAGTGGCAGAGTTGAGAGAGCTTAGACACTGCTTCTCCAGCCAAATGCTTTGCTTTGAAGTATTGGATTATGTGAAAATATTAAGCATTGTACTCACCTTATCTAGGCTGTGAACCCGTCCTACATACCAGAGAAATCATAAAACAAAAAACCTTGTTGGCAAAAAGCCACTGACTAACGGTCTAGAGGACATACGTGTGGGCTGTGCAGACATTTTAGGAATTTCAAAACTTAAGAGCCAGGGTGACTCATGCTGGTGTTGGGACTGCACCTTTTAAATGGTCTGGAGAAGGGGACTGGGAAAGGATGGTGTGTGCCTGTCCAGCAGAGAAGGGGCTACCCAAGATCTGACCACTGGGCATCCCAGCCAGGCCTTGGCCCCTTGGGTGACAGAGTTATTGTCATCATCAGCTGGCTTTTTTTAGTTTCCTAGCAAGATTCTCCCAGGTTACCTCTTTGGGAAGTAATTGGATAATCTGTTTCAAAAGAAAGCCATCCTCCTTTGGTTTCTGGGGGGTGGGTTTGATGAGGATGTGTACACTTAAGGTGTTTTGTATCAAGTTTTTCACCACGTGGCCATACTGTCTACTCTGGGGTTTGTTTGACTGTCATTCTTGACACTGATTCCATTTGCTCCCAAGGTACTACATCTGCTAAGTGTAGCAAGTGGACCCATAGAGTGGATTTGCTTTCCCATCTCCACCCAACTCTGCCAAAAGCTGCTTGGAGAAGTCCCAGGTCCACTGCCCTCCTCTCTCTCGACACTACCAGTAGACTCCAGGACCATAGTTAACCAAGTCTTTTTATTTTTACCTCTGACATATTTAAGTCTATGAAACTTGATGACAGTTTTCAACATCTCTGAATAGGTAACTCAACTACAAAAATAATCAAAACCAGTGACCGTGAAACTGCGGTTCTTACGCAAAGCCATGCATGCCACTCACCTGTATTGAAATGTCCTCATGATATGAAGCCAAATAGTCCATGTAGTAACATGCTATCCAAAGGTGGAAACAAAGGAATGTAGCGACCCAGTGTTAAGAGTTCCATTCGCTTCAATTAATTATTTACCTTCCTGTGGAATAATATATATATTATATTATATTTAATAGGACCATAGATAGACTAGTATAACTTAGATCATAAATGTGCACATGCAGATTATTCTGCTGTTGCACAAGAAAGGGTATGTGTGTGTGTGTGTGTGTGTGTGTGTGTGTGTGTGTGTGTGTGTGTGTTGGGGGGGGGTCTCAATTCCAGCCAGCATAATGCTGGCCAGGACACAGTATGAGAAAGTTGCACTAGATTAAATGGTCAGAATCAGAAGAGGAGAAAAAAAGAACCAGGGATTCTGCAGCAGGCATGGGCTGGATCCATACATGGTCCCTGTGAGTTCGTTTCTCGAAGAAAACAGGGATGTCTGTGTCGCCGCGACCCCCCCCCCCACTCCCCCACGAGCTCACCCATTTGCAAGATGGGGTGATTGTTTTCCTCAGTGTGGTGAGTTGAGATGTGTTCATCATGTAGGAATTCGATCACACCATTTTCAAACAATGTCAACATAGTCCAGCTATTGTTTTTCTCATCTCTTCCGAGAGGAGACTCACTGTTTCTGCTGAAGGAAGCTCAGACCCTCGGCAAAAACATCAGGACAAATGCAAAGAACAGAAGCAGAAGCGGTGTGTTATTTATTTTAAAACTCCAAACGGGAGATCTTGGAAATCTTTCAAAAAGACCATTGAATTTTTCATTGGCTGAGAAGGACGTTTTAGAAAGTCTTAAATCAGGCTTTGTTTGCATTGTTTGAGTTCAAGGGGCCTTACTATTGAATGGCATTGCACAAGCCTTTCTTTGTGCAATCAAACCATTGTTATTGGTAGTTCTGTAAAGGAAACTGTGGAATCCAATTGGCACCGGAGTCATAAATCCATTTACCAAGTGTGGCTTCCGAGAAATGTTGCAATTCAAAATGCACTAAGCCCGTGAATTATTGGAGATTTGGAGATTCTAAATAATATTTAAAAATATATCATCTCCATGTAACTTCTGGCCTAACTTTTGGCAATTTGACTTAGAAATAAAATATAAAGGAAAAGTAAAATACCATGATGGCCCAACCAAACTTTAGGTTTAAAGTACTTTTCCTAGTAAGTGATTCAAAGGTGTTAAGTATTTGCCACAGGACTGATTTATTTCTTAGCTAGAAGCTCTCGATTTCGCTTGCTCATCAGGGCATCCATAGAAGGGTTTGTCAAGACTCCGTGTTGACGTCACAGCTTTGCAACCTGGTGCATGAATCCTTAAGTACTGTATTTCACTGTGTTGGTGTGTCTGATGGAAATTTCAAGGTGGTCCCACAAATATATTTTGTGTAGTGTGCCTTCAAAGAGAACCATTATTTCTCTTCACTTGTTGTCCCACTAAGTTACATTTGGTGGTGGTCAGCCAAGTCCCATGTGGTCCAGTTTGACTCATTGTCCCGAGTTGAGAGAGTAACGGGAACGGTTTTGCCCTGGTGAGACCCACACCCCTGGAGCAGTGAGCACCTCAGCTCCGGTGTTGGCTGTTGATGTATTGGATATTCTGCTTGTCTCCCCATGGCAGAAAGATCTCTGAAAAAAAAAATAGCAGCATAATCTCTTGGCTGTTTATACTTTTTTAAACTCCCCTGTGTTGTAAATAGTGTACACTTTGAGTGACTCCAGCTAATGTAACCTCTACGCTCTGTAAGGTGATCATTTGTATATAATGACCTGGCCCAGTGATGTTATATAATTTCCCAATGGAGAGGTTATTGAGTAACCTTTGCGTTAGTTTAAACACTACCAGAAGAATGCTGAGCCAACTATAAACACTCAATTTTGTATGTTTTCCAAATTGTACTTATTACTGCTTTTGATACTGTATTCCGTGCCAATAGTTTCCCAATCACATAGCAGGCAAGAGATATTTTGTACTTTTTGATCCACTGTAATATTTAATAAAAAATGTTACTATCTGTTTCCTTTGGGGTGTCTGTCACTTATTCCCGGGGAGCTTTGTGGCCTCAGCAGAGGATTTCCAGTCTCTGGTCTCTAGATTGGAGATGGTGATAATACTGAGTGTGGCTCACTGGGAACCTTCTGGAAGCTTCATGTACATATGGTTATGGCTGATTTACTAATGAGAAAAGGATAGCTTAGAGAGGCCTTCACTTATCCAAGATTGCCTGACTTACAAATGGCAGAGCTGAGATTTGAAGTCTGGGGCCCTAAAAATCTGGGCATGTCCTAGGCTAGCAGGCACATAAAATTACTGTTTGTTGGTTTAGTCAACAAATGTGTCTTGATACCTCTCTGGCCAGGCTAGGTGTACAGAACTGGGAATACAGGTAAGAGAAATACTGCCTGTGGAGGTGTAAGTCTCACTGGGAAGAGTCAGTCGGTCACCCTTATAACGGCGAAAGCCCAAGGTGGCCTCATTCTGGGGGAGAAGAGTTTAATGACTAACGTGAAGAGGAAGTCATCACTGAACCCTTATGCAGGACAAGCATGAATTAGCTAAGTGAGAGGGAACTGGGAGAGAGTAATTCAAGCACCAGGGACCACACGTGCAAAGGCCCCAAGGCAGGAGGGAGTTCATCTTACAGGAATGGAAGGGGTTCTGGGAGTGATAGCTTCCAAAGCATGATTACATCGAGGAGGGAATGTGGTTAGGTGAGGTTAAAGTATGGCAGGGATCATCTAAATAGGCCAGAACGAGCTTCCGGTCATTATCCTGACCAGAAAGAGAGGTTTAAGCAAGGTGGTCACAGGTTTGAGTTTGTCCCCGCTGATGTCATTCCCCAAAGAAAGGCTGTATGAAGGCAATTGAGCACAGCCTAATCTAGAGGTGGTGACCGTTTTGCTTGGGGGTGGTAGACTGGATGGTCACGTCTCAGAGGGCCTTGGAGAAAGAGCACAAGGGTTGAAAAGGTAGAAAAACAGATGCTGAGGAAGGCAATTGAGCACAGCCTAATCTAGAGGTGGTGACCGTTTTGCTTGGGGGTGGTAGACTGGATGGTCACGTCTCAGAGGGCCTTGGAGAAAGAGCACAAGGGTTGAAAAGGTAGAAAAACAGATGCTGAGGTCAGTATCTTTTGTATCCATTGGGTGGAGATGGTAGATAAAGATGTTGCGTCTTTCCCTTGAAGCCTGTGGGCTCCCCCCCCCCCCCCCCCCCCCGGCCCTCCTCAGCTAGTCTGTTGAAATGAGGCATTTACAAAACAGCACTGTGGATTCCTTTCCTAAGGAGTCACAGATAAGGCAGGAGGGACAGGGATGGGGTCAGTGAGGACTTTGGTGGCCGGTTAGGCGTAAGACCACATCATATCATCAGGATGGGCTTTGTGTAGACAGGAGAGGCCATGCCACCATAATTCTGGAAGGATGGGGGAAAACATATTTATTTAGATTAAAAAAAAAATACCAAGGACCCCTTTTCTCATTAGAATGACATCTCCATTGGACTATGGGGTCAGCAAGAGTTGTGACAACATGGCTGTGGCCTCACCCTCTCCTTGCTGAGAGCAATCCATTTTCTAATAGAAAGAACCCCTAGCCCCATGGTTATCTGACCCTCATTCGGATCGATGTGTATTTCGTCATATAATTTGACTTGGTTGAATCCATCAAAAGAACATCTTTCCCTCAGTGACACGTTTGGCCTTTGTAGATCAGAGTCCCTGAGTCATACACAACAGGAAACTTCATGATAAGTTATCTATTTTTAACCAGGCTTGGCTGGCAAATATTGTCAAAAGGGGACAATACTTTTGGTAAAGATTCACTCAGGCCACAAAAGCAATGAAAATGCCTAACGATGCATTCCAGGAAAGTGGCCAAAGAGAACAAATGTTTTACAGCTGATAGCGACCAGGAACTAAGTGATTATTTACAGTAAGTATAAGTGACAGAGGAAGAGTTGGAAATGACCAGTGGTCAGGAGTACGGTAGAATAAAGGAGAGCCTTAAGCGTGGTCTACAAAATAAAAGTAAATCGCATTAATTTGTGGTTCATGGATTCAGAATTCCTGAATTTGAGGACCTCTGGGCAAGTTCCCAGAAGTAACATTGTGAAGCATTTGTTGAAATAGTAGACTATTTTTAATCATGTTTTCCAGAACCATAGGCACTCAGCCAGCTGCCTTGTGTATAGGTCAAAACCATAGGCATTTAGCCAGCCGCCTCATGTATCGGTCAATCAGGTTGGTTCTCAGAATCACCACCATGGTCATTGTGTCTGACTCGCTGTAAGATGCAACCGTCCAGTACAAATTCCTGGGGTGGTAGAAATGTTCTGGAAGATTTTCCAATATCATATCTCATGGCCAGTGTGGCTACTGAGCCCCTAAAATGTGCCCCATGTGACAAAGAAACTGACTCCTGACTTCTGTCTAGTTTTAGATATTAAGTTTGAGTAGCCACATGTAGCTAGATACCAAATAAGACAATACAAATCTAGAAGATCCAGTTGACCAATTTGTGTGCTTGGTTAGAACCAACTGAAAAGATTCCATATCTGCACATTGCTAATATTACAAAGCATGGCGCCTCTTCTTGGCAAAAAGAAATGAATTACTTAATGGTGATGCCCTATCTCATTCTGGATTTACACATCACAGGAGTTAAAATCTTGCCAAATGAGTAAATCAATCATCGAGCAAGCACTAAGGGACGGCTACAATGACATCATCCTACAATCCAGCCCAACATTTTTGGTTAAATCTATGGGAAGAATGAACTCACTTTTCAGAATGTTTGTGACATGCTAGACAAAGCCATATTCATGTCATCTTACTTTATTCCATGACAATTTACCATTTACTTATAGAGTTGGGAGAGCAGTCAACATGAGATAGATTGCCAGGTAGTAAGGTGGAGTGGGGTGGGTGAGGTGGGGTGGGGCAGAGTGGGCATCTGTATGGTTAAGTCTATGACAGCCATGTTTTACTGTTTCCTTCAAGCCTGGGTCTGTTACTTCACTGATATAGAAATGATTCAAGTAATTAATTATACTGAGTGAGCCACACCACCCATGCTGCTTGAAATGTTTTTAATTGGGGTAGGGGTGGGGGTGATCTTCATCCATCTAATCGTCATAATAATCCATGACATCAATGTGACACTTATTTCTACAAAGATGAAAATAAACAAAACGGAAACTATGGTATTTATTTGTACTTCACAGCTGAGAAAAAAAAGAGGCGTCATTGAGATTTTGCTAACCTGTCAAGATGAACCACGCTGCCCTGTGGTGGCGGCAGAGCCATCTGATTACTTTTATCCCTTCACCTGTGTATAGCTAGGTCTTCTCCTTCACTCCCCACTTTGACCCCACAATTCCCCAAACAGAATCCACCAAAATGCTGAGTCTGCACATCCTTAGGCGATTTGAAAATTAATGAGACAAGAAGAGCAAAGACAATAAAAGGAGAATGCTCTCAATAAACCGTGTTAGCAGGAAAACACAGTCAGCGGACTGCTTAATTTAGTAGAATCTTAAGCTTAAAGAGAGAAAACTGGGATTAAAAAAAGTCTGTTTTCTAGGGAAAGAAGCTAACAAAATTTTCTCAAGAATTGTGAAGTTCATATAATTAAAAAATTGGTTGGTATGCTAGTGTTTCCCAGCCAAAAAGAACCAGGTTCTTTACAGTGTTAGAATCACTTCAGAGAACTGATGAATAGAAATGAATATACAATGTTTTTTATAAGTTCACTGCGATCTCATTGCCAAAAACTCAAAATGGATAGTTAAAGACAGAAAAAGTACAGACTGATCTCACTCGTAAACCACATGCAGAAATCTTAAGTAAGGCGCTAGCAAACTATCAAAGTATATGTTTTCATATGTACATACATTCAGATACCTGCATGTGTATATAAAAGTATGAAAATATACACTCAACAATTGCATATTCTAAGTATATTGAAGTAATAATAAATCATGCCAAGAAGTGTTTATTTTAGAACTGTAAGGATGTTAAAGGTTAGGAATTTTACTAATGAAATAATATGTTGAACCATCTGGAATAAAATTAAGTTGAGCCCACTCCTCAAGCCATTGACAAATGAACTCCAAGTGGATTAAAGATTTCATTACTAAAAAAAAAAAAAAAAAAAAAAAAAGACTAGCTAAAAAAGATCTTGAAGAAAACACAGAATCAGTTCCTAACCCTCATAGGGGAAAAGTCATTCTAACCAGGACTCACAATTTAGACACCATGCCAGCTTGAGCGGTCCTCTGTACAGACTTTCCATATGGAGAAATAAATTCCAACTTGCTAATCGTATTTGGAAAATAAGTATATGCATCTTTGCACAAAGACTTCATGTCCAACTACATATACTTACCTGTCAGTCATCCCAGGGGATTGCTTTTAGCCCCCTCTCCCCACGCCACCACGCCCCCAGGGTGCTCAAATCAACAGATAATCAAGAGCCCAATACAAATGGCTCAATATTTGGAAATCATCTGTCCATGCCCTCCTGCATACTTGAAATCATCACTAAGTAACCAGTAACATATATTTATTTTTAATTATGTGTTTGTGTGTGTCTGTGTTGGCGTGGGGTATGTCCATATGAGTGCCAGTGCCCAGGAAGGCCAAAAGAGGGCATCCGAGTCCCTCTGGAGCTGGAGTCTCAGGTAGTTCTGAGCTGCCTTACCTGGGTGTTGGGAAGCAACCTCAGATCCTCTGCAAACACAAGTGCTCTTCATCACTGAGCCATCTTGCTGGCCCCACCTAGATTACTTATAATATCGAAGATAATAAAATGCTATATAAATAACCATTTTACTTGGTTACTTAGGGAAAAAGGCCAAAAATACAAACAATGATCTTTTCATGTCTGGTATAGGCTCACTGATTTTTTTGGCAAATATTTTAATCTCCTAGTTGTTAAACTCACAAATGGAGAACTCAAAACACCATCATAGCTGAACATCGAACATGGCGCTTTCTGTTCTGCAGAGCGACCCTCGG